AATATATATCGGCTGGTAGAGAAACCAGGGGTGTGGAGTCGTAAAAAAAAAGTAAGGACTCCGACTCCAGTTGTTTAAATTTTTTGAGTACAACTCCGACTCCGACTCCGACTCCAACTCCGACTCCAACTCCAACTCCAAAGCAAAACTTTTGAAAAATTCTTTGAATTCTTTAAAAAATATTGTGCGATAAACTGAAACTTTTTTTTTAAAAAATTTATGCAACGTTCTTTGAGGTTTAGTATGAACATAAGGTTAATTGAATGTTTTGTACATACACGTGCAATACCAAGAAATATTACTATCGGAGTCGGAGTCGCGATATTTTTTAGCGACTCCGACTCCGACTCCGCTAAAATTGTCGCAACTCCGCAACTCCGACTCCGACTCTACAGCCCAGAGAGAAACTCATAAAACCGTTCGTAGTTTATATAAAGCAGAACGTAAGGGATCGTCCATTAATTACGCAACGCTAAATTTCACTAATAAGCAAAATAGCAAAGGTCAAAGGTTTTCCCTCGCAGAGCCACGCCGAGCAAGGAGGTAAATAAAAAATCAAAACAACGCATTAAAGGATTGTCCATAAATTACGTAAGGCAAAATTTTACGATAAACAAAACAAAAAAAGATTAAAAGTTTTCCCTCTGAGAGTCTTGATATAAATAAATAATCAAAATTGGAAAATAAGTTTAATTAAAATTGCCGGGCAAAGGAGCTTAAGATCTCCTACTTCTGTTCCTAAAATATTTTTGCATTGCGTAATTTATGGACGATCCCTTAAGTATAATGAAAATCACCGCGTAAAAGAGTTTAAGATCTCCTACTTCTGTTTTTTAAATAAATTTAGCGTTACGTGATTTATGGACGATCCCTAAGATAGCAAAAAAATTAGTCAAGCTAGCGGTTTTAAAATATGAAGAGGATATCGCTTCTGTCTAAAGTTGAACCAAAAAAACTACATGCCTATTTAAATCATAAAATGCAAAAACATGAGCATATTCGCAAAGTCATTCTTGATCAAGACATAAGTACAAAAGACCAAAAGGTAATATGTCCGACTCTAAATCAGTGTTTTCAATCTGCATTTGAAATAGAGCCAGAAGATCTGATACCAGATTTTGAACCAACATTGAATGTACCGAAAAAGAAGTGATTATCAATTGCCAAAAGTTAAAACCTAGACTGGTGAACTTTGATGTCGTCAAATCAAATAGATTTGATGGAGTTCATCCAAGAGTACTTCAAAAAGGAATGTAAGTTGAATTGTAGTAACTATAGACCCGTCTCGAAGACATCAATACCGAGTAAAATACTTTAGAGAATAATACATGAATTAATCTCTGATTACTTGCTAACCAATGGTTTAATTACAAAAGTTCAGCATGTTTTTGTGAAAAGAAAAGGATGCACAACGAATCTGTTAGAATCTCACGACATTTGTACTGATGCCACTAATAGTAACCAACCTGTCAATGTTGACTATACCGATTTAGCTAAGGCCTTTGACAAGGAACCACACAAAAGACTTATACAAAAAATTGATAGCTTAATGCATACAAGGAATGCTCATAGAATGGATCAAAATATGGCTATCCGAGCGTCTACAGAGAATTACAATTTGACTTGAAAAATTTGATTGGAAAAAAGTAACGAGTGGAGTTCCTCAAGGATCCATATTAGACCCCTTACCTTTTTGTGATATACATCAACGACCTACCACACAACATTTCCAATTATATAAAACTTTATGCAGATGACAGCAAAATAATGACAGTTGTTAAAACACCATTAATTCGCTATCCTTGCAAAACAATATTGACAAAGCCGTTGAATGATCTAGAAATTAGTACATGTTTTTTAATCTTGATAAGTGTAAGGTTATGCATCGTTGGTTACAAAAAAATTAAATCAACACAATATTACACAATGTTAGGCAAAGATGGACTTTGTTATCCATTAAAATGTACCACAGTTGAGTGTAACCTTGGTATTTTTGAGTCTGATGATTTGATGTTTAGATCACAAGTAGATGCAGCAGTGGAAAAAGCAAACTGGAAACTAGGTTTACTAAAATTAGCATTCAGAAAACGCAGTTTATTCCTCTCGCAAATATTATACACTTCATACCTTCAATCTTATCTAGAGTTTGCAATCCAAGCCTGGTCACCACACTTTGGTAGCGATATTAACAGTTTAGAGCAAACTCAACATTGTGCAACAAAATTAATAAATTCCCTGAGACATCATACTTAGGAAAAAAGATTAGAAGCACTGGGACTGACAACACTAGAAGAGAGAGAAAAAAGGGGATCTTATAGAACAGTTCAAAATTATTCAAAACCTTAAACAAATAGGTTTCTACCACAACGTTATTCCTTTTCAAAATCAACGTCATATGACCTAAAATGTACCCGCGAGCTTATGCTTCAACCACAAGAACTGTATAGAGAGACTCAACTTTTTACTAATCGCGTTTGAGCACCATGGAATGCACTTTCCAGTAACACCGTTAACTCAAAATCTGGCAATACTTTCAAGTCACGATTGCAGCATCAGAACACTCGAAAATAATAGAACTGTATTTATCAAACTCGTTAGCTGGCGCCGATCTACGTCAAACTTTATAACATTTTTGAAAAATTTCATTTCGGAATAAACTAAACTAAACTAAATTATTTTTTGAAAAAAATTGTGCATTATGCATAATGACTCATAAAGTTAAAAATTATAAAAATGTTGTTAACATTCTATTCCTAATTAGTAAAATAGAAGAAATCAGAATAAAATATAAAAAGTGCAGGTTCGAGCAACCTTTCAAACTTAAAAAAATGGGCTGATTATTCCTTAAACATCAACAGATTGTATCCAGAAATTTTCTTATATCATTTTTTCCATATATATGGAGCCAAACAAATGGTTGAGAGCATAAGAATATATATATATATATATATATATATATATATATATATATATATATATATATATATATATATATATATATATATATATATATATATATATATATATGGCCATTGAAAAACTCAATGGCCCTATTTCAATGGTGGCCATTGAAATAGGGCCATTGAGTTTTCTACACATTTTTGTGAAATTTTATTCATAATGTAAAAAAAAAATAAAGGTTTACAGGAAAAAATGATTAAAAATTTAAAGAATAGTTGTTTATTATCAAATATAAATATAAAAACAAACGAATTTTTTATATATATATAAAAATTGTAATGTTATTAATATTTTGTAAATCCACCCTTTGCTGCTATAACAGCTTTTACTCTCCGTGGCATGCTGTCAATGCATTTCTGTGCCAATTCTTTTATGTGAAGGTTTTGATGCCAACCTTTATTTAGTTTTTCAATTAGCTGGCTTTTATTTATCACCAGTTCTTTTGAAGAAACCTCTCGTTTAAATAGCTCACACAGATTTTCTATAGGATTAAGATCCGGGGAATTTCCTGGCCAATCCAGCAGTGGAATTTTTTTCTCTCCAAGTAACTTTTTAATGGATTTTGCCGTATAGCATGTGGCAGAATCTTGCATAAATATAAATTCGCCATCGGGAAACCATTCCAAGACTTTAGGAATGAGATTTTACTCCAAAACTTCTTTGTATTAGCCCTGCCTCATTTTCCCTTGGACTGTGTAAAGCCTTCTCGTACCCTAACCACTTATAACGGACCACACCATAATTGACAATGGATGTTTTACTGTCTTGATAATTCAGTCTGGATTAAATTTTCGCCCACCCTTTGTCGCACAAATGAGGCTTTGTCGTCCAATATCTGAAACGTGGATTCATCAGAAAAGCACACCTGAAAACAAATATTTCAAATGTTAGTCTTTCATTAATCTAAATAAATTTCGAAAAATTAAGCAGAGCATGACATGTTTAAGAAATAAATACCTTTCTCCAATCATCTGTTGTCATATTACGGTGTTTTATAGCCAATTTCAGTCTTTTATCCTTCATGGCAGGCGTTAATTTTGGTTTTTTCGCAGTCTCCTGACTGTGCGATCACTAATATTAATTCCAGCATCTTTAATCAATGTTGTGATTACTTTTCTGGGTTTCTTTCTATTCTCCAAGCAAATGTTCCTGATAATTCTCTCAGACCTTGGCGTTGTAAGGCGTTTCCTTTACAGTTTTTACGGAGTGTGGAAGTAGGGTTGTCGCCATTTTTTATTTTTGATGCTATTCTTTGCACGGTCTGCTTAGAAACGCCCTTAGAAACGCCAATTCTTCTTGAAATTTCTCGTTGAGAATAATTAGTGTTCCTTAAAAGTGACATTATTTCACTTTTTTTACAAACATTCACATTTTTTTTACCCATTGTCAGAAACTTTATAAAAATTTAAAAGACAAATAAACACACTACAAAAATATGTAAAAGAAAAATTAAAAAATTGAAATAATGTATATTTTTGGAAAAACTACTTTCAAAGAAGTCTTTTCCTTAATGAAACACTTAAAAAATTAAAGTTTTGAAAAATAGTCGGTTAAAAATAACGTTTGAAGAAAGATGCTTAACACACACACACAACAAGCTTCGGCACTTTACAAATGGTAACTGAATATTTCAATGGAGACCCACTGTATATATATATATATAAAAACTTATTTAATTTAAAAGTTTGTTTGTTTATCTTTCAATTAATATATAGTTTGTAACAAACTATATATTAATTGAACAAAGCTAACAAATTGTTACGCTTTCAAAAAGATATACTATTCAAATTTTAATTAGAACTTTATGTTATTTCATCCAAATTTTATTCAAAAAAACGTGCGGTCACAGGAAAAAGATTGTTAAAACGGCGGTAGCAAAAGAGTTAAGTGTTGACTGTTATATTTTATTTATAATAAGTATTTAACTGACAATATTCTTATCGATTGAAAAGGTAGTGTATTACTTTAATTCTACTATTGTACGCTAGCAAATAATAAGTAAATATTTTATAATTACACCTTTCTTACGTTTTTTAACCATGTCTGAGAAAAAGAGACTATCAGTAAAGAAAGATAAAGAAAGTCAAAGAAAAGCTATTTTGAAATATTTTTGTGCAGAAACACATTCTACAGGTACTGATTCTGCTACTGAAAGCGATAGCGGTGTGAGTAAAAAATCTAAAGTGATAGTTGACGATAAAACTGTTATAATGCTAATATTTCAAATCAACAAAATGAAGTTGTAAATATCAATGAAAACCTGAAGCAACTCCTGCTGTTAATATTCCAAGACAAATTGAAACTGAAACTCAAATTAGCATATTATCATCTGCAGACTACAGTGACCCTGCAAATTGGCCTACTCATTTTAGTGACAATTTTCGGCAATTTGTTATAAAAAATAGACCGCAAAAAATTGAAAAATATAACTTTCCACAAGATCGAGATGAACAAAAAAGAAAATTTTCATTAATCTATTACAAGCGGACATTACCAAATGGAGAAGAAATCTCTTGTTCTTGGCTTATATATTCAGTTTCAAAAAATGTAGTTTTTTGTTTATGTTGTAAATTATTTGGTAAAAGCAAAAGTAGTTTGCCGGCTTTAGAAGGTTCAGGTTTAAACAATTGGAAGAATATTGGAGCACTTCTTTCTTCTCATGAAAAAAGTAATTCACATCTCGTAAATTTTCAAATGTAGAAAGAACTTGATATACGTTTATCTACAGAAAAAACCATTGCTCATATTAACCAACAAAAAATTAATGAAAAAGAACAATATTGGCAACGAATTTTAGAAAGATTAATTGCCTTAGTCAGAGTACTGGCTATGCAAAACTTGGCATTTCGTGGAAAAAATGAAAAGCTTTACAATAATGCCAATGATAATTTTTTAAAATTTGTTGAGTATCTTGCTTTATTTGACCCATTAATGAATGAACATGTGCGGAAAATTAAAAATCAAAAAAATAAAACTGCTCATTATCTTGGAAAAGGAATTCAAAACAAATTAATACAAATACTAGCAAATGCTATAAAAGATAATATCTTGACTAGAGTAAAATTTGCTAAATATTATTTTATAATTTTAGACTGCACCTCAGATAATAGCCATACAGAACAAATGACAATAATAATTCGTTTTGTTGATTTAGAATCACCAACATCGCATGATGGGGATTTAGTTAAAATTAAAGAAACATTTCTTAGGATTCATACCTGTGGAGAAACCTACAGGTGGTTTTTTGGCAAAAACATTAATTGAACAATTGGAAAATTTTAATTTACCAATTGAAAATCTCCGTGGACAAGGATACGATAATGGAAGCAACATGAAGGGTAAGGAGAATGGGGTACAAAGAAAAATTTTGGGTATAAATCCTCGGGCGTTTTTTATTCCATGCAGCGCACATTCACTAAACTTAGTTTTGAATGATGCATGCAAGTGTAGCTTAGATGCAATAAGTTTTTTTGGTGTGGTGCAACAGATTTATAGTTATTTTTCGGGATCACCTTCTCGTCGGCAAGTTTTTCGTAGCTATTTTCCAGATTTTACTGTCAAGTCACTAAATGATACAAGATGGGAAAGCCGCAATAATGCTTTAAAACCATTACGATACAATCTCGGAATAATTTACGATGCTTTAATGCAAATATTTGAGGATCCAAGATTACAAACTACATCAGTAGGAAATTCTTCCCAAAATGAGGCTAAAGGGCTCGCAAATTCTATTTGCATATTCAAGTTTATGGTTGCCCTTGTTTCATGGTTCGACATTCTTTTTGAAGTTAATATTTCTAATAAAATATTACAAAATAAGAAAGTTGATTTGAATGTAGCTACACAACAATTAAATATTACTAAAAACAAACTTGTAAAAATGAGAAATGATGAAGGCTTTCAAAGAATTATTGTTGATGCTGCTGAAATTGCAAAGGAATTGGAAACAGTAACAAATTTTGAAGAAAAACATGTCGGGAGAAGGAGAAAAAAGCGACAGTTCGATTATGAAACACAAGATGAAGCGTTGCAAGATCCAAAAGAAAAATTTAAAGTTAAATTTTATTTTAAAATTTTTAGACACTGCTATACAGTCTATTGCGGAAAGGTTTGAACAAATGCGACAGTATTATAGTATGTTTGGCTTCCTTCATGATATTATTCTATAATTTCAAAATCTTCAGCAGAATTATTGAAAAATTGTAGAAATCTAGAAGAAATTTTAACTCATGGTTCTCAAAAAGATATTAGTGCAGCGGATCTTTGTAATGAAATCAAAGTACTTTCTGGAAGACTCTCACAACAAATGACACCACATGAAGTACTAACTTTTATAGTTAAACAACGTTTAATTGACTGTCTACCAAATATATGTATTTCTTTAAGAATACTATTAACACTTCCAGTGTCCGTTGCAAGTTGCGAGCGAAGTTTTTCGAAGTTAAAAATAATTAAAAATTATTTGAGGTCGACAATGTTACAAGAACGACTGGTGGGATTATCAATAATTTCGATAGAACACGAAGAATCATCAATGTTAAATTTGAAAGAAATTGTAAAAACATTTGCAACAAAAAAAGCCAGAAAAATAAAAATTTAAATAAGCTTTTATTTTTATTATTACATATTTTCAAAATACAAATGAACTTTCTAGTTTCTGAAATTCAAATTCTTTAATAATTTAAACATCAAATCAGAAACAAGTTTATATATATATATATATATATATATATATATATATATATATATATATATATATATATATATATATATATATATATATATATATATATATATAATATATATATATATATATATATATATATATATATATATATATATATATATATATATATATATATATATAAAATATATATATATATATATGTATATATATATATATATATATATATATATATATATATATATATATATATATATATATATATATATATATATATATATATATATATATATATTAGGCAGCCGTGGCGCAGTGGTTAGAGTTCTGGCTCAGAACCCAGAGGTCCGGGGTTCCAGCCCAACAAGCGACATTGGTACGGAAGGAGGCGTGAACTTCCTGTTAAATGCTCTCCCGCGGTGCTCTATGATAAGACCGTAAGGACCGATATATATATATATATATATATATATATATATATATATATATATATATATATATATATATATATATATATATATATATATATATATATATATATATATATATTTAAAATGGCATAAACATTATAAAATGGTGGACATATTTAAGTATTAAATATTTATTTTTGATATATATATATATATATATATATATACATATATATATATATATATATATATATATATATATATATATATATATATATATATATATATACATATATTATATATATATATATATATATATATATATATATATATATATATATATATATATATATATATATATATATATATATATATATATATATATATATATATATATATATATACATATATTATAAATATAATATATATATATATATATATATATATATATATATATATATATTTATATATATATAATATATATACATATATATTATATATGTATATATATATATATATATATATATATATATATATATATATATATATATATATATATATATATATATATATATATATATATATATATATATATATATAACATGATAATATCACAGTCAATATATATTCTAAAAACTAAAGAAATTAAATCAATATTATTCATCAATAAAGGTGATATAAGTCATTCAGTATTTAATAACTCGGATTAAAGGTTTTCTATGAAATACGTCACGCAATTTTTTACATTTTTTTTATTTGAAAAAACTTATTTTAAAATAAGATATAGGAGCAACAAAGTTTATCTCAAAAAGTTTATTAGGATAATAAATTTCTTTAATGTATTTTTGAAAACTTCTGGAAATAAGCCACGCTTTATTTTAAATGAATATTATCACTTATCAAATACTGTTTACGGGGGTGGGTTTTGTCGCCAAGGAGGAAGCTAAAAAGGTCTAAAAAAAAATTGTCCGCATACTTTGATTTATAAGTAACTTTCTTTTTTAGTTTTTTGTACTTTAGTGTAATAATCAAGTTCATATACGTATGATTACATATAATAATCAATTTCAAATGACTATTATACGCCATTGACTGTTTATAAACATTGCAATGACCAGCGTTCTTCTATTTTTGAAGGAAAGCGCTGTAAAAAACCTAAATATTAATTAGGTTGGCACTGCGCATTCATGTAAAAAAGAAGACGTTGGTCTGCTTATTACTATTCAAAACACCAAGCTTACATAGGAGAACTTCCCTAAGAGTATTTCTATTAAAAGCAAATATAACCTTGGAAGCGTATTTTTGTTTATGGTAGTTTTTTTTTAGTTTAGTGGAATAAGTACTTCCCTAGGCTATGTTAAAAAAATTGACGTATCAAAAGCTTTTGATACGGTCGATCGCCAAATTTTAATTTATAAACTCAAATACTACGAAACAAAAAATAAAATTTTAAAATGGTTTAAAAGTTATCTATCTAACCGAAAACAATGAAAATTTTAAAACAGTGAACGAAGAACTCAAGCATATATCTAATTGGTTCAAGTGTAATAAGTTAACTTTGAATAGTAATAAAACAAAATGGGTTTTATTTCATTAGATTACAAAAAAGCGATTTCTCCCATCAAAATTACCTCAAATATTTATTGATCAAAAAAAATAACAAGAGATTTTGTTACTACATTTTTAGGCGTTTATCTTAATGAAAACATTACTTAGAATCACCATACTGATTATATAAGCACAAAAATTTCTAAAAATATGAACATCCCTATATAAATCACGAATCTATCTCAATACGAAAGTCTTAATCCAATTTTATTATTCATTTATACAAAGTTATTTAAATTATGCTAATATTGCTTGGGGAAGTACAGAAAAAAGTAAGTTACAACTTTATCTCCGTCAGAAACGCGCAATCCGCATAATCAATTTTGCAAATCGCTCATTCGAAGCATTATTTTATTGAAATGAAAATTCTGATTAATTACGAGTTAAATGTATTTAATATTTTATGTTTTATATATGTGTGGATAAATAACTTACCCCTAGCCGTCTTCAATAATCTTTTCTCTTTTAAACCAGTCAGTAAATATATTTTGAGAAATAATAACTTTCTAAATAAACCTTTTTGTCAAACAAAAATTTAATCAATTTTGTATTACCTACCGAGCACCTCACCTTTGGAATAAATATGTTTTGGCGAATTTTAATTTTGAAGTACCTATTACTTTTAACCTTTTAAACTAAAAGACCTCATTCTTTCTTTAGATAATATATTGAGTAATTATTAGTTGTAAAAGTTAAAAATATATTTTGGTCTACTTTTTTTTTATTGTTTGTATACATGTTTATGCTTATAGAAGTTTATTTCTACTTATTTTATTTATTGTTCTTATACTTTTTATTTTTTAATTTATATGTTGGTTTACTCTTGTATAAAAATCTGATGAGAAGATCCTCTAGATCTTTCTTCAGACACAGATTGTTTGCCTTGCAATTTGTAAAAATTGATTAATTTTTTTATGTTATCTTTGTTAAATGCTTTTTTAAGTTTCTGACGACAAGATCTTTGCGATCTTCTTTCAGATACCACGTTTATGTTTGTTATGCTTTATGTCATTGTAAATTTATCTTATTATTCTTATTATGGGTTATTTAAAGTTGTACAACGATTAACAAATGTAAACCAAAAAAAAAAAAAAAGATGAGTATTAACGAAAAACAAATTTTTTTAAATGACACTCTATTAATACAAGGTATTGTTATATATTACATGGAAATATTAATTGAGACATTACTTTCAATATATTGATAACAAGAATTCTAAGAATTTTTTATCTAAAATTACTCCGACAAAGTTTGTGTTAAATTCGCTTTTAACTTTTTTTTTTAAAGATTTTATAATTAAGAAGCCCTTACTAGGCATATATGCCTAGTAAATAAAACTAAGCTTATTAAATTCTATATATAAAATACAATATGATAGAGTATAATAGAGAAAACTAAGCTTATTAAATTCTATATATAGATTATAATGAGCTTAGTTTTCTCTATATTCAATAAACAACGGTTACTTATAAATTACTCGTTTAGGGAAAAGGCGCATACTTAACTTTGAAGCTTCATTGTTATGTATCCTGAAGACCAAGATTAAAATCTTTGATATGGATACATTCTATATTACATTTAGAACAATAATAACCCTAAGAGTTTTCATCAAGTTTATTTTTTTATTATTTATTCTTATTTAAAAAAAAGCACAAGTATGCTATAAGAGGTCATTACTGCTCCTATGATGGTATAGGTTACTCTTGTTGCTAACCATCCTAGGATGGGGCTGGTTAGCAACAAGAGTAACTTGATGATTTCATTTAACCTTAGAGCCTTCCGGCAGAAATGCCAGAAATTACGCGTAATCATCCTAATTTACCCTTTCATGTGCAAATGAAAGGTGCAGAATTTCGCGCATGCACAAAACTTGGAAATAAAACGCATGAAAATTTCATTTCTGCAAATTTAATAATAAAATCTTAAATATATAAAGGGATTAAAAATACAACAGCACATCCCAAAATCAATTTTTCTTGATTATAAAAGCAATATTTATGCATAAGAGACGTATTTTTATTAAAGCTAATATAAAGCCAGTAGGTCTAATCACTTTTTCGCCGTAACCAATATTTATAAAAATATGACCGGTATGCCACCATAGACGTCATTCCCTTACTTTATCTGATAAAAAAAATATTAACACTTTTGTGACAATGAATTAGATTAGAGTGATTTATAAATATGATAATATTAATTTTTTTTTACGTTAAATTAAAGTTTTTTTTTTTTTTTTTTTTAAACATGTTTATTTCACAATTACAAAGTATTAACAATCGACCAATCATCGTTTGGCGAATAAAGATATACAAATATAAATATCGTAAACATAAAGTCCAAAATAAATAAGGGATAAATCTAAAATATTGTTACATTCAACTTTGAGACTTGATAAAAATAAATACAAAGTACACA